ATAATCTGCACAATGTGGTCAAAATTATTTTAATTAAAACTATTCATTGAATTTACCACTAACATTTTTTCCAAATTATGTTTCGAAAAAGTAGGTGAACGCATTTTTTTATTGTAGGTNTCCTGACCTCATTATTATCTCATCAATCACTGTCTGAAGCTGAACCGAAATATTAAAAATTTGAAGACACCAACTCAGAAGTCGGCAATATTGCATCTAGATATACATATTTATTAATATTAAGTAACCGTTTAAATCTAGTAATTTTAAAAATTGTCGATATTCGATTGGTATTTTACTAATAAATCTAGCACGGCTTTTATCTACTCGTATACTTACAGGCAACTATCATTTGTGTGACGTCATTGCCAAGATGGCTGAAGTGTCAAAAATGGCTAACAACAGCTGATATCTGTAATGCCATTACAAACATTTTCGTCAAAGTAGAAATAGAGGAAGTAAAATTAACCAAACAAGCACTATGTACAAAATAAACCGTAGAATTCTAATTCCATATAAAAGTTTAAATTACTAGCAATCTTTTACTTTAAACAACAGAATTGTTTTTTAGATAGTTTTCCTGTTCACTAAGATCTGCTTGCAGTAAAAGTTGCTATTGGTTTGCCTAAACACAACCCCCACATCTAGATTTGTTTGCTCTCATTCAACTGCCCAACACTTTTACTTTTATCCAAAAAACTAAGTAAAAAGCATCTACTTTCAAAAAACAGCACTACAAAAAACTGTTATTTATTTTTATATTTGTTCGCCTAAAATCAGTAGACCGAAAAATTTCTTCGTTTGTACTTAATTAATCGTTTCATTTAATTTTAAATCAGTTTTATAATAATTTTGGTCAAATGCAGATTATTTATAAAGAAAATGCAGTAATATAGTGAAAATAGCATAAATTAATTAACTGTGTCTGGCGCATCCACCATTTCTCCTGCATTATTTGCAATGAGAAGTATTTCACGTTAGAAATATATAATCTGATAACAATATCCTCAAACATCCGTTTTCAAAAAATAATAATAGGGTAATACTTAAAACAAAGATAAAGAGAGCTTGAAAAACTTTATATTCCATCTATCTGTTAGAGACTTACTATAATTAATATAAATATAAATGCAGACTTTTTAATGTTTAGTTAGAATTTCTTTTACAATATTGCAATTAAATGTTAAATCGCCATTACATGAGAGCCGTAGAGCCCGTCTCTTATTTTAATCATTAAATTATAATACGTAATGGTCTACATTCACAGTAGGACGAACACATGTTCGTTGTCAAAAAAGTTTGTTGTGAGTATCTTCGATATTATTCTATTTACATACTACAGTCTCCTTCAGTATATTTTTTTAATTTCAAAAACACAATGTCTAATTATACTGCCAAAGGCAGTGATATATCGTCGGCAATTTCTGCTACCGTTTACTACCCTTTATCTATACTTTTGTTCATTTTATTGCAAGCTATAAAACTACCCTTATATTTTACCTGTTTTCTCTGGAAGTTCGAGCAATAATCATTCTTTTTCTATTACCTACATGAAATCTATATGCCATCAATTTTGTCTAAATGTGAACTAATTCGTAGAAAATAGTAGGTACGTATGGAGTAAGATAGAAAACATTTTCGTTTGTTTGGATGATTAACGCTTCATCTTCAATTTACTACCCGCAATATAACGCTTGTCTGCTACGAAATATAAGTAGTAATATCACGAAAGCGACGAGGGTTTCATTATACTCCGCGATAATTAGCTGACGGTGTTGGAAAACTTACGTGGAAGAACTCGAACTTCATTAACGAGATTGTCACAATTAATTAAACAGGGCGAAGGTGCGTGCTATTATCAGTAGATAATAGAGACACAAAGAAACCTAAATCTGACAAAAAGTATATAGAGAATCTAAGAGTATTATTATTAACGATAATCATGTAAATATAAGTACTTTTTTCTTTATTATCACTGTAACGTTGGACCTTGTCAATTTTATTTCCGTGTATTTACATGCACTTAGGTACACCTGTATATTAGAATAATTACTTAAATTCACTTCACCCCAAAATTAAATTTTACCCCAGTCACCTCTAAATAAATCGACTTTTATACTGGTAGTTTATTGTTTGAGATGTGCCCGAGATGAAAATGTTCAGTCTCTCAGAGTCTCTGAAAGCGGGACTCGAGTCTCCGTTTCTCATCGAGTCTCTCTGGTGTCGAGAGACTGTCAAAAAACTGTTTAGCGTCTCTGAACGAAAGACTCGAGTCGCTCATAGAGAGATCCTCATTTCGTATCCAGTCTCTGAATAAGAGACTCGAATGTCTCAATAAGTGGTGTCTCGATAGACATGGTTAAAATCTTCTAATATTTCAGAGATCCCAATCTTTCTACGAGAGACTCCAGTCTCTCAATTTTTCAGTTTTATTCATTCGGTCTCTCTGTGAGAGACGCGAATCTCTGAATTAACAATTTTATCGTTCGAGTCTCTCATACAGAGACTGTGAGAGATTACCTAGGCAATAACTGAGGGACTGTGAAAGAATGTGAGAGACGCTCTCAGAAACGTTGAAGGACTCTGAAAGACTCTGAGATGCTGGAGAGAGACTGAAAATTTTTGTATAGAGTGGTATTGAAAGGAAATGTTAAAAATATTGTGTATAGAAAAATTTAGAGATGATGGGGTATTATAAGAAGAAACGCAGGTCTGAGGTCTATATAAAAAAGGTAAGGTAAATTAGTAGAGCGCCTTCTCAGGCATAAAGGTCGTAGTAGAAGCACAAACAGGAGTGAAGAGGGGCAGTGGTACACCTAGAATACATTACTGTTTACAAACAGAGATGTAAGCTGCTCAAGTTCAGAGAATTATTGTCACTGGTTCGTTTATTTACCGTGATGGTTATATTGTAGAGAACAGAAAAAAAAAATCCTGAGCAAGTTCCTAGGTTTATAAGTTGTCATTCTGACATCATTACCTTGCTTTTAAATAACTTCCCGTCCACTTAAAACAGTAGTAACTACATGAGCTTTTTGTAAAGATGAGTAAAGTAAATTGTCAATAACTATAAATAAATTAATTCCATTAAGAAAAGGATTTTCCAGAGTGGCAATTTGTAAAGTGGCTACTTATAATTTAAAAGACACACGCACAACATTCTCCCACTCAGTTTAAGATTTATCGGTTTTCCATGCAGCTTTTGCGAAAGTATAGCACGCCATACATAATAATGTGTCCTATGTGCTTGACAATTTGCCTAGAATACTTGAAAAGAGCTGAATATGTAGGCACTTAGAGCATTTAAAGGTACGACGGACGTCTAAACGTTACAAATCCTGATATTCTGTCAGAGCAAGGAACATTATTATGTCGTTCTCCATTAAGGTTTGTTTGTATTTGTCAGCGATCCCCTTTTTACATTGCAATGGAAATTTCACGTTCAACATTTCTCTTCGTGAAAATGACAAATGAACACGAGAGCAAAACAACACTAATAACTACCTGTATTTTTTACTAAACTCCGTTAAGGTCCCTGTATTAACAGTCACGCAACAAATTATTATTTATTTCTACATACAATTCCACTTTCACGTTTTCATCGGAATTCGTTAGAGAAGGATAATTAATTCTAATTGTTTCTAGCAAGGTTTACAGTATAAAAACATGACAATAGGTATGTATAAGTTGTAGTAAAACTATACTACCAATCAATGTCACTTTATAGATTCAAAAATTGTAAGGTAAATGATAAATGGAACATTTTTTTATAATACTTACGTTTCACATTTCAAGACTCTAATTTTGCCAATAAGCCAACAACAGTTCAGGAATAAATTTTTTATTTATTACAGTGTGACGTTTCAACCGTCAGTTTCATTATATATACACATATATCAATTGTTTAGATTTGATGTTAACACAGTGACTTTTGTTCGTTTTTTAGCCTGATGATGATCGAAACTGACGGTCGAAACGTCGCACTATAATAAATAAAAACTCCTAAACTATTGCTGGTTAATTGGCAACATCAGTCTTGAAATGTAAAAATTTTTTTACACAACAACCAACAAAGTTAGATTCCTTTTTATACATAATACTACGTTTCGTTTTCCTTATTGCAACTTCAAGAATGAAAAAATTAAATGGGAAAAACATTCATATCACAGCCTCCTCGAAAACATAACTTTTCTTTTTTATAAACCTAAAAAAATGTTTCCCACTTCCATCTGGGAACTGTTTCCACTCCACCTCATAGGGTCCACAGTAGCCTCATCATTCGCCTATGACACCACATTTCAAAGGCTTCTAGCCATTTCTTTTCAGCAGCGCCCATCGTTCGTATTTCGCACCCGTACAGCGCCGCGCTCCAAACATACACCCTTATAAAGGCGACTCTACCCTGCACTATCCTCTGCTTTATATCCCTACTGCTCCTTCCGACTTATGTGACTTCCTAGATATCTAAAATCAGCCAC